TAAATCATTATGGCTTGAAAAAATAGAAGTCATCCCCATGACAGAGGGGGGAAAAGCTGCTTTGGGAGCAAAAGGGCTGGACCAGTTTCAATCAACCTTTGTCTTATGTGGTCAGTAAATAATACTTCAGATTCACCTGTTTTATAAGTGGAACAAATCCTGTGGTATTCGACTATGTAGTTGCAGCCCTAGTTATGTTTCTTGTTACTCCAACCAGTCATAAAGTAGTTAGAAAAGCTGAAAAGGACATGCAGCATAAAGTAGGGGCTGAGCCAGTGGGTTGAAATTCCAAGAAAGCAGAATCCAATTAAATGTATGGAAGAATATTGAGGAACAGTAAGAGCTGTTCAACAATGGAATGGATTACTTTGGAACTCCATAGCTAGAGATTTTTAAACAATTGAATAACCATCTGTCAGGAATGTTTTAGCTGTGGGTTTCCTACATAGGCATAGGATTTGATCAAATACTCAGTGGGCTCCGTTCCAACCCTTTGGTCTGTGATCCTATGATTCTATGACTGCAAACCTATTAAGTAGCTACAGTGGCATACTTTTACATTGTGCAAACAGTAGCTGTAATAGCACCAAGGTGGAAGTTCTGTTCTCAAAGCACTGCTGCGGGCACATTGCTCAATCCGTTGTAATAGGAACTGTACAATGAATTATGCAATTCAATTAATGCAGTCCTAGTTATCTGGGTGTTTGCATTATGCGGTGACATACTTTACGTTAGCTTTATATTATGCATCAACATACAAGACTCCGGTCTATGAATGTTTCTTCTAATAAGTAGGAGGCAGGCAGTATCTTTCTCTTCTAGATGTAGTCCCTCCCACTGTATCGGGCATTGTGTTAGACTGTCTATGACTTTACTTTAGGAGTGGATTTTCTCTTTCTCTACTAGAGGGATGCAAGAGCATGCACTGCATGCACTGCCTGACTTATTTATTTATTTACATTAAAATATTTTTATCCTACTCTACTTGTGTGTTGATAGGCTGAGAAATTAAGGGAGATAGGGCAAAAGTTAGAGGCAGATGTATTCAGGATGTGTTTTTTAAATGATAAGTCACTTAGTAAATATAGTTTTGAGAAATACAGTTTTACTCTAAGTTGTAGAAGTTGGTGGATCCTCAGATGTCCTCAATTAAATGAAATGCTAAAATTTTGAAAATTGGAGATTTTCAAATAATGTCAGCCTATCTTTTTTTAAAAGTAGGTGGGAAATTCTCTTATTTGTTAGAAACATGCTTGAGCAATGAAGTATGTTTTACCGTAAATATGTCCTTTAAAAGTGTACCTAGGCTGATGACCTAATTCACAGGAAAAAGATGCATACTGTATATCTCAGTCCAGAGCATGTTCCTTACTGGGATTGAGATATATGTCAGTTTCTTGCCCAGTTTCTCCCATGTTTCTCTATTTGCTGCACAAGATCCTGCTTCCTTTAAACGGCTCTTCTGGGGCAGATAGTTGATGGAAGTGCTTTTTGTTAGGTAGTTGGCCCTGGGCTTTGATCAAGGTCCATTTTCCGTGTAGGGTTCCGCATCGGCTTTCTTCAAAAGTAAGAGTAGCCAGCTCAAGTACACTTTTAAAACTAGCATGCTTATGCTTGGGCATGTTTATTTTGGTCCTGATCCTATTCCAAGTGAAATGTGTTGAAAGAGTTTTGCACCAGTGGATTATGCTGTGTGTTAATGTAGCTATTTTTTTCAACAGTTACTGAGTTGCATTCTACATGATGAGAAATGAGCTTAATTTTAGAATATACTTCAGAAATTCATATTTGTATTAAAAAAAATACTAACCTGAACACATACAACTTCCTGGTGAAGAACTTTATATTAAAGACCTGTGTTTTGATCAGCTAACTGACTCAGGGCTCTTCTTGCCCACATAGGTACTAAAGTATCATCAGTATGCAGATGACATGCAGCTCCACCTCTTTTCCACCTACTAATCCTAGTTTCAAACGTGAGTGTGTGGCAATCCTGAGCAAGTGTCTGAAGTAGTTTAAAATATATGAGGCCAAACAAGCCGAATTATTCCAGATATAATGGAAGTACTGTGTGTTTGAAATGTTGCTGTCAGTATAGGGGCTTGCAACCACTTTTGGATGAGTTTGCAATTTCCTGGAAAAATTAAGTTAATGGTTTGGAGAGACAGAAACCTGGGTTTGGCATCATTTGTGCAAGTGTAGATGTTGTTGATGGGTGGGACATAAGAACCATGCTGGATAAAACCAAAAGCCTCTTGAATCCAACAGTCTGTTCATACAGTAATTAACCAGATGCCAGCAGCTCATGAAGGTAGCTTCTTTCTCTGTCTGGCATTCCTCAGCAATTGAAATAGTGCCAGTTGTAACTATAGCCACTAATAGTCCTCCATGAATTTACCTAATCACTTTTTTATAGCCAGAGTTGGTAGCCATCATTACATCTGGCAGTAGTGAATTCTGTAGTTTAACTGTGCACTGAGTGAGGTTATACTTTCTTTTATGTATTTTGAATCTCCCAAGATTCCACTTCAGTGGATGAACCTGGATTCTAGTATTATGACAGTGAGCAAGCAAAATTGCTCTCTATCTACTTTCCCTTCCCTATGCACAAATTTAGACACTTCAGTCATGGCTCACTTTACTTGCTCTTTTTTGAAGGCAGAGTAACTTTTCTTCATAGGGGAATTGCTGTGTCCTCAGATCATCTTAGTTTCCCCTTTCTGCACTCTTTCCAGGGTGACAGTATCTCTTTATGTGTGGTGACCAGTGCTGTACATAGTGTTCCAGTTGTGGGTGTGCTGTAGATTTGCATAAGGACAATATGGTATTTTGCCTTTTCCACTTCTCTTCCTTTTTTTGTCTATTTTCCACTTCCTTCTTAAGAAATCAACATTTATTTAAGAAAAAGATCGAAATCTTTCACAAAGCCTGTTGAAATTTTTGCGTATACAGTACCTATTAAATTGTTCCCCAAATGATAATTTTTACTGGATCTTTTTCTTTCCTTCACTTAAATAGGTTAGAGTTAAATTGAAAGATTCAAATGAAAGTGGATGTCTGCTGGTTGTCTATCTTGAAAATCATCTGTGTTCAAAAGCCATTTAAAAAAAAATCTGAGGAAACCCGTATAAATGAATTTTTGTAGGACTTTTTAAAAGAGGAAAAAAAAGGCTAGAATAGCTCTGGATTGAAAGCTAAAGTAGTACTAAAGCCTTTTGCAAATCTTAGCTGTCCCTAAAAACTATCCCTAGAAATGATACTTGGTTGGACCTTTGGCTGGATTTTTTGTGCTGGATTTTTTGGTGAATTTTAGGGGGAATTTGTAATCAGAATAGCTGAAAAGGGAATGGAATGGTTCTCACTGGGGAACTTCTTGCTGCCTGAACTTTCCTATCAGCACAAAGTGAACCAACACTGGCCCAACTCTTGGAGTTTTTTTTTAAAAAAAAAAAGCTTAGGAAAATATTTTGTGCAAGGGGGCATTTTGTGAGATTGACAACAGGTTCAGTTCTCTCTGGCCAATGGGAAAATAAGGCATTATCAGTTCACAAAAATTGCAGCAAATAGGTTATCTGGATGAGCTCCCTTATAGTTTTATTGCACTGTATCCCAACCCCAAGATCCCTTTCTTGTTTCAGTGGCAACATCAAGAGAAAGCAGAATTATACATGCCCTGATTACATGCAGAGTGGATTGTTACATTGTGTTCTATGTGGAACTGATCTGGAAATTTTCACTTGTGCTGAAGGAATGTGCTAGACATAAGTAGTATCCAGGTGTACTCATTATTTATTTTGAGACCCAATTTAAAGTGCTGATCCGCACCTTTAAAATCCATAAAAATTTGAGAACTGGTTATTTGAAGGACATACAAACTTGATCAGCCTGTAAAATTAGCCTCAGAGCCTGTCATTAAAGGTCCATAAGACCATCTCTAGTAATAATTACATGTCATCAATTTGATTCTGACTTACAGTGACCCTTTCCAGGATTTTCTAGTTACAGAGTTCTCTGGTGCTGTTTACCATTACTTCTTCTGGAGATACTCTGGGAATGGGCAGCTTGCCCAAGACTACACAGCCTGGCTTTTCTCATGGGAGGCACAGAGAGGAATCAAACCCAGATCTTCTGGCTGTGAAGCCAGGTACCCAACTCATCCAGCCAGCTAAGGTTACTAAAGATGGGGCCATTTCAATAGTAACCCTAAATCTTTGGACCTTTCTGTCAAAATAAATATGTATGGTGCCATATTTTTTTTAGTTTTTTTATGAGGCTGTGAAAATTCTTTTCAAATTGAATCCAGTGAAATTGCTGAGTTAGGTTTTAAATTCTTTTAAACTGCCATTGTTCCTGATTTTGTGACTAGATTATTTTATTTATGTATTAACATCTACTTTATAATATTGATACGATTTTTATAAGTCAATCAAAATTTCCTTAAAATTTATAGATAGGAAGTTGGTCTTGAATAAGTATATTTTGTGATTCATGCCCAGTAACTACCTGCATTAATTAAGCTACACATGGCTTGCCAAGTGCTTTAGAAGTCCCTTCATATAGGAGCATCCCATTATTTGGACAAAATGTAGCCTGTAGCCAATCCTTTGTCATTCCCTAAGCATAAACAGAGTATCAGGTACAACAAAGGACTGGCTACAGGCTACATTTTTCTTAACTGTCATTGTAGATTGCTTTATAAGCTTCAGAGTGTATCATGTTATGTCAGAATTCAGCAATGGCAATAGAAATGTGTGCTGCTGTTAGCTTTTTCATTATTACATGTTTTAATTAAGATGCAATTGTTAATTTCTGAAAATAATTAATTTGGGGCACAATCTGGCTAAAGTACCTAAGTTCTCTTGATTTTAGTAGGATGGATGTAGGCATATTTTTGCTTTGCCTTTTGACATAAATTAGAATATAAAATTCTTATTTCACTTGGATGGACTTACAATGTGCCGTGTGCTAACAATATGTGTTTGTATGTTTGTTTGTTACAGGAACTAAACAACTTAAGCATATTTTGCTGAAAGATGTGGACACTATTTTTGAATGTAAATTGTGTCGCAGTCTCTTCAGAGGACTACCAAATTTAATAACCCATAAAAATTTCTACTGTCCTCCAAGTCTCCGGATGGATGACAGTAAGTTATGCTCTCTCATAACGTTATATTCTCTCTCTCTCTCTCTCTCTCTCTGTGTGTGTGTGTGTGTGTGTGTGTGTGTGTCTGTCTGTCTGTCTATATGGTGTTGGCTTTTCAAAGAAAATGTAGGATAATTAAACTGAGTGACCTTATTACTTGGAAAAATTGAGTTGCTTATTCTATTTTCTATGAGTTTTAAAGCAAGTTTCTCATGTTGAATGATATATGCAAAAAATTCTGGTGTTTTGCAACAGCATCTTTAAAATGAACAAGTTTCATTTGGTATACATGTTTGTGGGATGCAGCCCATTTTTTTCAGATTCAACTATGAATCTTTTGGCTATGAAACTGCATAATTTAAACATTGTGTTTATATTTACAGATTCCCCTGATGTAAATGACAAACAAAGTCAAGCCACAAGTGATCACTTAGAAGCTGTGCATCCAAGACTGGACAAGCAAGGTTATATAATCCGTCTTGAACCTATAGAAACAAACCAGAACGCTGTTTTTCAGTTTGTATCAAAAGCTGATAGTTCAGTGGAAAATACTGAGAGGAATGCCTCTGATGATCCAGTTGCTGTAGGAGTGCCAGAACCTACCACAGAACCTCCTACAGCAGTTCCAACTCCTGCCGAAGTAGAAACTGTAGATGTGCCGCCTCCTCTTGCCACTGCTGCTGCCACCACTGCTGCTAACAAGGCAGTATTGACTCCAGAAGAACCAACCGCATCCTCAAAGCCCAAGTTAAAATGCAATAACAACACTGATTCTGGTCATCAGTTGATTTGTTGTCTGTGTAAAAAAGAATTTCATTCCAGACGTAGTGTACGGCGACATATTAGAAAAGTGCATAAGAAAAAGATGGAGGAACTAAAGAAATTTATTGAAATTAAAAAAAAGCCAAATAAGGCACCTGGAAGGGGTCGCAGTAAAAATGTTCTTGTAACACTGGGTAGAAGTTGTCCTGTATGTTTTAAATCTTTTGCCACAAAAGCAAATGTAAGGAGGCATTTTGATGAAGTTCATAGGGGACTGAGGAGGGATTCCATAACTCCTGATATAGCGACAAAACCTGGGCAACCTTTATCTTTAGAAACAGCCTCTGCTAAAAAATCTGTTAAGGCTGGAAAACAAAAATCATCTTCAAAAGCAGAATACAACTTAACTGCATGCAAGTGCCTCTTGTGCAAAAGGAAATATAGTTCCCAAGTAATGCTGAAAAGGCATATGCTGATTGTTCACAAGATAACTCTTTCTACAAAGAATACTAAAAAAGAGAAGAAGGCCAGTAATACTTCTAATGCTGAAGTAAAGGTTAAAATTGAGTCAACAGAACCTGAAGAATCAGTACATCCCATTGTTGCTTCTCCACAGAACGAAGTGAAGGGAACAAGTAATTCAAGTGAAAGAAAGAACATAACATGTGCTGAGAGGAAGAATGCAGTGGCCACTGAAAGAAAGAACATGCCACCTGTTGATAGAAGGAACATATCTTGTGAAAGGAAGAATGCAGCATCAACTGAAAGGAAGACTGCACAGTCCACTGAAAAAAAGAGCACACCTTCCACTGAAAGAAAAAGCGTGTCATCCACGGAAAGGAAAAGTACATCATCCATGGAAAAGAAAAGCACATCGTCCACAGAAAGGAAAAGCACATCATCCACAGAAAGAAAAAACACATCACCCACAGAAAGAAAAAGCATGTCATCCACAGAAAGAAAAAGCACGTCATCCACAGAAAGAAAAAACACACCATCCTCAGAAAGAAAAAGCACACCATCCACAGAAAGAAAAAGCACACCATCCACAGAAAGAAAAAGCACACCATCCACAGAAAGAAAAAGCACACCATCCACAGAAAGAAAGAACATACCGCCAACTAAAAGGAACAGAGTTAAGCAGAGTTGTGAAAACTCAAAGTCAAGTAATCAGTCTCTTACAAGTGCTCCCAAGAAGCCCAGAAAGCCAAGGCTTTCAGCTGGCTTTGATTTTAAAAAACTTTATTGCAAGTTATGTAAACGACAATTTACTTCAAAACAAAACTTAACAAAACACATTGAGCTGCACACAGATGGAAGTAACATATATGTTAAATTCTACAGGTGTCCTCTCTGCACTTATGAGACACGTCGAAAACGTGATGTGATAAGACACATAACAGTAGTACATAAGAAGTCTTCACGCTATCTTGGTAAGATAACTGCAAGTTTAGAAATTCGAGCAATTAAAAAACCTATTGACTGTGTTCTAAATAAAGTGGCAAGAAGAGGCCCTCAGAAGGATGAGAGTAAACAAAATGGTTCGAAACAGGATGTCACCGCTAACTCTCCAAGCAAAAAATATGAAGGAGCGGATGTTGGTATTGAAGTAAAAGTCACAAAAAACTTTTCTCTGCACAGATGCAATAAATGTGGGAAAGCATTTGCCAAAAAGACTTTCCTAGAACATCATAAGAAGACCCATAAGGCAAATGCATCACACACCCCTGAAGAAAACAATAAAACCAAAGGCAGAAGTACACGGTCTAAAGCTCTTGTTTGTTGAAGAACACATAGTGCCTTCTTTAATGATTACCTAAATTTACTGTAGGTACTTCCTCAAAAACACCTTTCTTCATGGACCTGATTCTATAGAAGATAAGAAAAAGATTGCATTTATTCCATAGCCATTTCCCCCTGTGGGATGAAACAAAGAGCTTGATTTCTGAGTTTGCCTTCTTTTAAGGGCACTGAACCATTTTGAGTTATATAGGGTTGGTTTTACAATTTAATATTCTGTATCAAGTTATTTTGGCATAATGTTTATAAGTAGATGCCATAGTTCCAAAGGTTTTTTTTAAAATTTGCTTTGCACTTACTGGTTCTGGCCAGGCAAAGAAGACCTTAATGGCCTGGAGATGGCCTGTGGATACTGTGTTGCCTGTGGTTTAATCTGTTAGCAAAAGTTTTCGGCATACAGTTTTTTATAAAATCCTAATATACTTGTGACTATTTTAAAATTATGTTAGCTTTTTTTTTTTGCATTGCAGATGCCCATTCTCTTTTCACTCACACAAGATGGCAGTCCCCCAAAAATAAATTCCTGTTTTTTTCTGAGCAAGGGTTTTGTCTGATTGTTTGGCATATTTAGTCCTTCAATTTGAAAGTGTTAACTTAATGTTTGTTTCCATGGACCACACTAAAAATGAGTTGTGATGGGGAATCAGGTATTCTGCAGTTCCAGTTTACTATATGGCGTTTAAGAAATGTAGACCAGTCTTAAAATTAACTTGTCTGAACTTAAATATTTTTACATAGCTAGCAATTCAGGAATTGGTGGCATCTGAAATTACAACAGTGACAAAAGATTCCTAGAACAAAATTCTGTTAATTTATGTCATAACGGAAGGACAGTTGTGTAAGTATGTCCCCGTGGCAGGTTCATCTTCACATGACCAGTCATGTACTGGTTGCAAAAGTGCATACCCAACCCAAAGGAAAACTGCTGCACAATTGTCCTTCTGTGTCCAGTTTTTCTTAATTGATTTTGCCATTAGTTTCTAATACATTGCTAAGAGAATATCAGTTTCAGAATCTCTATTACCTGAGGGTTGCTTTGAAGAGTTGAAACTAATTGTGGATTCTGCTTTTAATGTGAAAATGTGAAAAGATGTGTGTGTGTGTGTGTGTGTGTGTGTGTGTGTGTTGTGTGTGTGTGTGTGTGTGTGTGTGTGTGTAAAAACAAGCTTTCAGCTCTTCAGAAAGCATTCCCAGGTTGTGGGTGGAATTTTTAAGGATACGCAATAGAGATGATTGTATTCAGTGGGGAGGGAACTTTTTTGGCAGTTCCTTCTTTGTTGGTTCTCTCCTGCTGTCACAGACTTGTTCTAGAGACTGGGGAATTTCTTCAGAATGATGTGGGAATTTGCATGAGGAGGGTAATGGAATTGCTCAAAATCTCTTCCCATTCCAGAGACTCAAGTCTTTTCTGGAACAAAGAGCCTTTTTAGGAATGCCATTTGTATGTCACCCATTATTTCCAAAATCACAACCAGCTTATTGGAGAGACTAAAATTCTTCTTCCTTCTGTGTAGCAAACTTTTATGTCTCTTCAAGTTGATTTAATGTTTTATTAAAAACACACACACACACACACACACACACACTCGAGTAGCACTATGGGAAGAAATATTTTATAAGCTATTTTCTTACTAAATATATTGACTGTTTATAAAGTGTAGCTCCTTTTCCCAACTTTTTAAATGGCAATTAAACTGCATTAAAATCTCAAAACTAAAAGCCAGTTATCTTAGTTCATGCAGTTCAGCAATGCTAGTAATACAAAAGAAACATTTTAAAAGGGAAATTTTACAAACACCTTTAGAACTATTTTTAAAGGAAATTATCAGTTGGAGCATATGCTCTGTTGATATGGTCTGTACTGAATCCTGATTTTCTTGGAAAGATTTTATGTTCATTGTGATATACTACTAAGCATATGCGTGATGTACTTTAAAATATTTTTTTATTAATGAATGTATATGAGGAACAGTTTCTTAGTATAATTCGAATGAATTGTAATTGAATTGTAATGATTCTAGAATTTCCTCTTAATTTTAATTCATGGTTGACTAATTTTTGGAGTATTAAATTCGGCTGTACTGAACTTGCTACAAAGATCCAGAGTGGTCTTGAATGGTTAGCATAGTAGACAGTCTTTCATATGGAGTTTACAAGTAACCCACATTCCCCTATTTTAATTAAAAAAATTATACACAAGCACTTTAGTAGCTGCAGATTTTTAAAAAATAGTGATTATTTTAAAAGGCAGTACACTAATATTCATATGAAGAGAGCAGTTGTTTTTTGTAGACCAGTCATGTACAACCATTGGCTTGTAGCTTCTTAACTATTGTTTAAGGAAGGTAGTGCAAAGCTTTTTTTTTGCCCACAAAATGTTGAATGACCACTGTAGATAGCACTTGACTTTCACCGTAAAGTTTATGCTCGCTTGTTCTTATCGATTTTATAATCAGTTCTATAGCAAAACATTAGTACCTACCATTATGAATTTTGGGGGGGCAGGTTTCTGCACATTTTTTAATTTTTAGAAAATGTTTAGTGATTTGTGTCAAATTGCTACAATTTATAAAATACTAGACATCTGAAAAAAAGCCGTTTTTAAAATATTGGTTAACTCCCTTGCTTAGGGAAAGCTTTGTGTCCATATATACATTTTGTATAAAAATATCTTAAAATGTTGATCATAAATAAAAAAATTCTTTTATGGATAGACAAGTGTTTGGCCTTTTAGTGCTTTGCACTAAAAACTGTGAATGGGAAATAGACTGTAACTATTGTTGGAAATGTTCAATGTTGAATGTACATGCTTCTTGGATAATGTACTTTATTTGGAAATAAAGGAGACTGGAAGTTATTTCAGGTAAACAAATCTGAATGCCCTTGCTTAATTTAATAATTTTATTAATTAAGTTTTATTGTATTATTCTAGGAATAATAATGGAGTAAGGTCTATCTTTTATTATTTATTTAAAATGTTTCTGAATGCATTACTGGAAGAAACATTTTCAAATTTTAAACATCCTTTAGCAGGACTGATTTTTGAAGTCAGAACTGTGGAGTGCACTTGACTCCAAGCAGTGTTAGACAATCAGACATAGGGTTATGCAACTGGACTTGCTGTTCTTTCCTTAGTGTATCTTTCATAGTGGATTAGGGAGGAGAATAGGAGGTTGAAGGGGGAAGCCTATTTAGCTAACGGTTTCTATTCCACTGGCCGGCAGATCACAAACCACTGTGGACAACCAGCTTTATATTACAGCTATAACCTTTAACTGCATTCTTTAGTTGTTCTGACTATAAATTGGACACCATCTTATATGCAGCTGATGCAGGTACTGTCATACTTTCAGAGTGTCTTTGTTAATTCCACAAGGAGTATCCCATCTCTTATTAGAGTTGGAGACACATCTATAGTTTTAACTATATTTGCACAAATGCAAAGAGGTTTTGTTGTACCATAGAAAAGCATCATGGTATCTGAACCAAAGTTTTCAGTTTACCCGACCCAAGCTTCTGTCAGACCTACCATGTCTGCAAGATCCAAGAGCAGAACAAGAAAATCAGTTGTACCCATGTTTTATCCTTTGTGTGATCACAGTGTTAGACCAAGTAGGCCAATGGTGTAGAACACAGCATACTTCTTTCTAGTTCAAGATAAAATCCGATTTTTCACATTCCATGACAATATTCCTCTTTATGGTTCCAAAGTACAGCTTGTTATATTCTTTGCAGAAAGTGAGAGAGGTAAGAATAGCATGTGAGCAATTAAAAAGGAAAGTACTTAATATTTATGTTTAGGCCACATTCATTGCTTCATTGATCTTACTGAATAATCTCTATAGATCATATAAAAACATTGACTAGTAAAGCCTCTCTATTCTTGGAAGAATAATTTTCTAAATTGTGTTTAGAATGCAAACTGAAAAGCAATGGTAAAAGTATACATACTTGTCATACTTTTCTTTGTATCTCTGTGCCCTCTTTCATCTGATCTACTTTCACTGTAGCTTTTTATTGTCATTGCAGGTTTCCAGCTATACAATATCTTTTAAGTCAAGACCATTGTTTCAAACAAGCTTGCTGTGTTTGATTTTGTTTAAGGCTTTCTAATAATCAACAAACAAAGCCTATATAACCCATGTTCATGTCATAACTTCACTCCCAATTACGTGTATGCAGAATCATGCTTCTGTGGTTCTAAATCCCCCTGTAAATCCAAACTGCATGCCTTCTCTCTTTCATTTCATTTCAGGTCATGTGTTGGCCGAAATCGTGTTGTTTAATACATAGTAGACCCTTTGAATCAGTGGGGATTTAATGAGTCAACTTCTCTACAAGTTTCATAGATACAACTGGACCTACTGTATCTGCAACTTACTATGATAAAGTGAGTCAAAATTAGAATAGGCCTATTTGAATCAATGGAACCTATGGAGGAGTTGACTCACCACATCCCCATTGATTCAGTGGGCCAATTCTAGTGTGATTTATTATGCTAAGCAACATGATTTTGACGATTGTTTTAAGAAAGTTTTAAATAGCTCATTTATAATTCTGTAGTCATTGCAAACTTTGGTGTTGTCCTTTGGGTCAAATTTCAGTCTCATCAAAATTTTAAATCTGTTGTGTTAGATTTAAATGAAAAGATTCACTAAAATATACAATACTTCTTCAAAATATTAATTATAGAAAGTTTGTTACTTTCCTATTAGTTGTGTTGCATTTATTTCTGCCTCTGGATCAACTTTTTATATAATATCTTTTGCTTGTTATCTTCAAACAGCTTTTTAATGTATTCACTTTATACTGTGATTTTATGCGTGAGATGAACACTCAGAATTAATACAAGCCATTTCTTGTGAGCATTGCCATTTTTAACAATATATCTTCTATTTCTTGATCTTTTTATGTACATTAAAGGAAACATGGATTGTCTCCATGTTTCCTGTACAATGTTTCTATGACTTCCCCAACTTTAGTGTTGTCTATAGTTTAAAGATATCATCTACATCTAGTATTAGTGATATCTTTGTTAATGCCGTTTCCAGGTATTTTCTTGTATAGAGTAACCTTGGCAGTAATTTGAGGGTAGTGTTTATTTAGCTCTTCATAAAAGTTCCTCACAGAATTGTATTACTTGTTCTCCACATTTCTTTTTTTGCTTTCTCATCTATATTTTCCAAAACTCTGCGGTCTTTTTCCCTCTTAGCATTAAAATCCCTCACTATATAATTTAGATATTGCTTTTCTCTAAAACAGCTTTGAGTTATCAATAAAACCTTTCTATGCTTTCTTCGGTCTTACAAGATGTTGGAACATAAACATACAGTGTTGATGTCTGTGGGATCTCTCTTTGCCTGGGTATGATGCATTACCTGGTCCAGCTTTGGAATGAAGTTTCTAATAGCCACACTTGCATCTTCTCTTTCTCTGACTGCACTTCTATAACTGAAAGAGGACTTAGGTTCATAACATCCGGTAGAATATAGTTTCCATTCCCTGCCCAAGAGCAGAGGGACATAATGCTTTTGGGCTGTAAGGGCTCATCTACTGTCAGCACAGGTATGTGTTACAGAATGCTCTCTCTCTCTCTCTCTCTCTCTCTGTGTGTGTGTGTGTGTGTGTTATTCTTAAGCGGCATTCCCTTCTGGAAATGCCCTGGGACTGTGCAGGTTGCCCAAGACTGTGCAAGCCAGCTCCACTTTG